AGGTATGCCATAAAAAAGAGGAAAGAAACAAAACAATCACTGTGAATAGCGACTACTATGCTTTATGATGAAGTTGCATTACATATAGTTATTACATTACATAGAGAGAGATTTTTGTGCCAGCTAACAGTAGAACGGAACTCTTTGGACCACATTATGAAAAGACTAAAGGACTGGCTTTGTTTCTTACATGAACGCAAAGTTAGACGTAACAAGAAGCGGGGACCCGCGATACTCACGGGGGGGGAGAAGGAGCTCCATGTGGAGGAGGAGACAGCCGTAGGTGAGCCTTCCCCCCCCGCACAGTGACAGTGAGGCCCGGGCCCACCAATCCTTCTCCCCCCCGCAACACCCCCGGCACCAACAGCGAGGCCCATGTGGCTCCCAGCCTCTGGGCCCACCAATCCTTCTCCTCCAGGCCGACCGAGCCTTCTCCCACTCCCCCTCTCTTCCCCCCAGCGGCAAGTCTACGGCCAGAGCGTTCTCTGCGCATGTGCAGGGAACGCTTTTGCTTTTGGGGGGATTTAAATATCCCCCGTATATTTCTTTCAACTTTTTAGATTTTTCTGCACCCCCGGGGACTGCTCCAAGTGTGCAGGAAAACCTCTCTGCCCTTCAAGTGCCCTTTCCGTGCGGATTTAGATATCCGCACAGAACGGGCAACTTGTCTATTAGATATACAGATAGGGAAATACCCACAAGAGGAAGACTTACTAAGGATATCCTTCTGAGGAAGATTAAACACAAAATGGGCTTACATCTGGGTGCTGTTCTGCAGTATTACAAGGCTGGGACTTTTCTTAATTTACGTCACAGGATCGCGTTTTCATTGCGTTATCGTTAGCGTGGCCGGCTCTGGGTTACCTGGAGATTTGGGGGGGTGGAGTCAGAGGAGGGTGTGATTTGGGGGGCAGGGAGTGACTGGAGTAGAGGGCCAGTTTGGTGTAGTGGTTAAGTGTGCAGACTCTAATCTGGGAGAACCGGGTTTGATTCCCCACTCCTCCACTTGCACCTGCTGATGTGACCTTGGGTCAGTCACAAGCTCTGGCACAGCTGTCCTTGAAAAAGAGCAGTTTCTGTCAGAGCTCTCTCAGCCCCACCCACCTCACAGGGTGTCTGTTGTGGGGAGGGGAAGGGAAAGGAGTTTGTAAGCCGCTCTGAGACTCCAAGTGAAGGGCGGGGTATAAACCCAATCTCCTATTCTTCTTCTTCTTCTTCTTCTTCTTCTTCTTCTTCTTCTTCTTCTTCTTCTTCTTCTTCTATGTCGTGGCACAGAGTCCACCTCCCAGAGCGGCCCTTTTCTCCAAGCCACCTGATCTCTGTCTCCTGGAGATCCGTTGTGATAGCGGGAAATCTCCAGGTACCACCTGGAAGCGGCAACCCGAGATAGTCGTTATTAACTTAACGGGTCGGGACTACATGTAATGTAACTTCATTATAGTAGCCATTATCCACAGGGATTGTTTTGTTTCACAGTGCTCACAGTTTGTTTGTCTGCTGTAAAAAAAAGAGGTCATCTTACATTTCCATACAAGTTCAGGTTACGGCCAGTTAATTTTTTTTTCTTGGTGTATAACCTTCTTTTTGGGGGGGGGGTCATCTTAACGCACAGGGTTGCCTTCCTGTTGAGCAAACATGGTAGCGTTTGAGATGAGGTTCGGGGTTTATAAGATTATGCATGGGAAAGAGCAGGTAGAGAAAGATGTACTTTTCTCCCTTTCTCACAATACAAGAACTCGTGGGCACTCACTGAAATTGCTGAGCTGAGCAGTCGAGTTAGAACGGATAAAAGGAAGTACTTCTTCACCCAAAGAGTGATTAACACTTGGAATTCACTGCCACAGGAAGTGGTGGCAGCTACAAGCATGGACGGCTTCAAAAGGGAATGAGATAGGCATATGGAGCAGTGGTCCATCAGCGGCTATTAGCCACAAGGTATAGATAGGGGCTCTGGGGCAAGGGATGCTCTGTCTTCTTGGTGCTTGGGGGGGGGGGCAACAGTGGGAGGGCTTCTAATGTCCTGGCCCCACTGGTGGACCTCCTGATGGCACCTGGTATTTCTGGCCACTGTGTGATACAGTGTTGGGTTGGATGGGCCTTTGGCCTGATCCAACATTTGCGTCTCTTCTGTTCTTATGTTGGGGTCAGGAAGAATGCTCCCTCTAAGCTGTGGAGTCTTGCGAGCAACAATTCTACTTTGTGAGCTGCTGGCATTAGAGTTGTGTGCGAGCCTTTTGGCTACTGCATAAATTAGTTTGCTCTGGAGCCCTCCTTCCTGAGCTAAGACAAAAATGTGTGAGCCAGAGGCTAAAAACCTGTGAGCTAGCTCACACTGACTCAGCTTAGAGGGAACACAGGAAGCAGTTTTTCTCCAGGCCAGTTCGGCTGGAGATCCTGGAAGGATTTTTTGTGTTGTCTTCTGGGTGTGGAACAGGGGTCGCTGGTGGTATGGGGGGGGGGAGGTATGTGTGAATTTCCTGCCTTGTGCAGAGGGTTGGACTAGATGACCCTGGAGGTTCCTTCCAACTCTGTGATTCTGTGATTCTATGAATCACAAAGGGGTTGGTGGTCTTCTCCTCCCATCTCAAAACCGGGGCTGTTGGGGAGGCGAGAAAGAGGGAGGGAGTTGTTGGAAGAGTTTGCAAGGGAGGGGTGAGTGTCTGGGGAGAAGAGCCAGAGGGAAAGGGGATCCAGAGGTCTGCAGGGACTCGTGGCGTGGGGGGGGCAAAAGCTGCCTAGTAAAGCTCATGCTTTGCCCCCAGGGGGGAAAAAAGTAGGAGGGCTGTGGCTCAGTGGAAGAGCCTCTGCCCGGCATGCAGGAGGTCCCAGGTTCAATCCCCAGCATCCCCAGTTAAAAGGACCAGGCAGCAGACAATGGTAAAGACCTCTGCCTGAGACCCAGGAGAGCTGTAAAGAGGGGCCATGGCTCAGTGGTAGAGCCTCTGCCTGGCATGCCGGAGGTCCCAGGTTCAATCCCCGGCATCTCCAGTTGAAAGGACCGGGCAGTAGGTGGTGATGTAAAGGACCACTACCTTATGTCAGCTACGCTGCCATGAGTGTGGAGAGGCTTTCTAATTGCTTTGCATTCCTTCCCATGCGCTTAATTGCTTCACAGCTGCAACGCTTAACTGTAAAGAGTTAACTGGAGGAGATTGTGGTGTCTAACTTCCGTGGGAGCGTCTTCGTTCCCAGCTTCGCTACCGTTAGAGGCTCATGCAGTCTCCTGCACGCGGGAGTCCACCTAATTGGGTATTGCTGGGGGGGGGGGCGCATACGAATGACCTATATCCTATTATGCGCATAGGTAGCCCGCCATTCCTAACAGTGTTCATGTTATTGCATCTGTGGCTTTTCAATAAAAGTAAAACCTTCCTGGAAGCGTGTACTTCGTTGTTTGGCTGTGGGTTCTGACACCTGAGACCTCGGAGAGCCACGGCCAGTCTGAGTAGACAATAACTTTTTTTTTTTGGGGGGGTGCATTTGTGTGTGTGTGTGTGTGTGCCTGGAAGTCATGGCAACCTCTGGTCTCCTACTGGGGCATGGAGGACGTTCAGAGCAGCGGCTGATATCGCCTGCCTCTGCCTCCAGGCCCTGGTATTCCTTAGAGGTCTCCCATCCAAGCAGTTGCCAGGGCCGGCCCTGCTTAGCTTCCGGGATCTGACGAGATCAGGCCTGCCTGGGCAATCCAGGTCAGGGCGACGGTAATAACCTTGATGGACCGAGCATCCGGTTCAGTACAAGGCGACTTCGTGCCTTCATGTTTCCCATCTCAGTTCCATCATCTCTGATGATGATTTGGAGTTGGGAGTAAGCAGTGAAGTGGCTAAATTTGCAGCTGATACGAAGTTGTTCAGGGTGGTGAAAACCAGTGAGGATTGTGAGGCACTCCAAAGGGATCTGACAAAGATGGGCAAGTGGGCGTCAACATGGCAAATGGGGTTCAATGTGGCCAAGTGCAAGGTGATGCACATTGGCGGTGGGTTCTGACCCGTGGGCCCTCGGAGAGCCACGGCCAGTCTGAGTAGACAATAACTTTTTTTTTTTGGGGGGGTGCATTTGTGTGTGTGTGTGTGCCTGGAAGTCATGGCAACCTCTGGTCTCCTACTGGGGCATGGAGGACGTTCAGAGCAGCGGCTGATATCGCCTGCCTCTGCCTCCAGGCCCTGGTATTCCTTAGAGGTCTCCCATCCAAGCAGTTGCCAGGGCCGGCCCTGCTTAGCTTCCGGGATCTGACGAGATCAGGCCTGCCTGGGCAATCCAGGTCAGGGCGACGGTAATAACCTTGATGGACCGAGCATCCGGTTCAGTACAAGGCGACTTCGTGCCTTCATGTTTCCCATCTCAGTTCCATCATCTCTGATGATGATTTGGAGTTGGGAGTAAGCAGTGAAGTGGCTAAATTTGCAGCTGATACGAAGTTGTTCAGGGTGGTGAAAACCAGTGAGGATTGTGAGGCACTCCAAAGGGATCTGACAAAGATGGGCAAGTGGGCGTCAACATGGCAAATGGGGTTCAATGTGGCCAAGTGCAAGGTGATGCACATTGGAGCCAAAAATCCTAAATATAATTACACGTCGATGGGGTCTGAACTGGCAGAGACTGATCAAGAGAGAGATCTTGGAGTTGTAGTAGATAACTCACTGAAAATGTCGAGACAGTGTGTGACTGCAATAAAGAAGGCCAATGCTATGCTGGGGATTATTAGGAAGGGTATTGTAAACAGATCAGCCAATATCATAATGCCCCTATATAAATCAATGGTGAGACCTCATTTGGAATACTGTGTGCAGTTCTGGGCACCACACCTTAAAAAGGATATTATAGCTTTGGAAAAAGTGCAGAAAAGGGCAACTCAAATGATAAAAGGGTTGGAACACTTTCCCTATGAGGAAAGGTTAAAGCACTTAGGGCTCTTTAGTTAAAAGCGGTAGAAGTTCTGGGAAAGAGCCTGAGCCGTGGGAGAGCTGCTGGGGGCGAGAGGCCCCTTCTAGCGTCCGTAGGAGGCTTGGCAGGAGGACTAAAAGCTCCTTCCCCTGTTGCAGGTTGCTCGTTCGGGGGCAGATTCTATGCGCTGGAGGACACCTGGCACCCGGACCTGGGAGAGCCCTTTGGCGTCATGCACTGCGTGGTGTGCTACTGCGAACCGGTGAGTAAGGTATCGGTCTGGAGGGGTGGGTAGGAAGAGGAAACTGCGGTATTTGAGAGCATCCTTAGCTTCCAGGGAGATAGATCATGATGGGTAGCCGTCACCTGTTTTAGTCTGTCTGTAGCAGTAGAGAAGAAGAAGAGATTGGATTTAAACCCTGCCCTTCAGTGCCCAAAGGAGTCTCAGGGCAGCTTACAATCTCCTTTCCCTTCCCCTCCCCACAACAGACACCCCGTGAGGTAGGTGGGGCTGAGAGAGCTCTCTCGAGGACTGCTCTTGAGAGAACAGCTCTGAGAGAACTTGTAATTGACCCAAGGTCGCACCAGCAGCTGCATGTGGAGGAGTGGGGAATCAAACCCATCTCCCAGGGTGTCTGTTGTGGGGAGGGGAATGGAAAGGAGTTTGTAAGCTGCTCTGAGACTCCTTCGGGTAGTGAAGGGCAGGGTGTCAATCCAATCTCCTTTTCCCTTCTTCTTCCTGCAAAGCCTAACTTTCTGGCCTGTAATCATTATGCAAACAAAGTCCTTTGGCATGCAGGTTCTTTAATTTGTATAATGTCTCCTGCTCCGCCCAGGAGGGGGAGGAGCTGTGGCACAGTGGCACAATGGCACTCCACCCTCTGATCGATGGCACGTCTGGGGTGGGGGTGGGGGGAAATGCTGTTAGTCTTAAAGGTGCTGCCTGCCACACCTCTGTTTTGCTTTGCACCTGAGCCAGCCACTGTCTGGGTGATTTCATTGGGCATGGCTCACTCCCTTTCAGGCCCCAGCCAAGCTGCTGCCACAATAACACCGTTAGTCTTTAAGTCAGAGGTCCCCAACGCAGTGCCCACGGGCACCATGCCACCTGTTGACACCTTTCCTGGCACCCGTCAAGTGTTTGTAGAAATCATGGGGGGGGGGGCTGTTGCCCAGCAAGGCTTCTGATTGGCCACGCAAATTTTAAAAAAGCATTGCTTTGGCATCAGCTGCCCCCGCAGCCCAGGGATCCTCACTGTTCGACTGAAGGTAAGCTGCAGCAGTAGGGTTGCCAGGTCGACTTACCTGGCCAGTGGGGGTCTCCTGACATCCTTTGGGGAGAATGGAAGTGATATTGGGCATTTTTGGGCCTACTTCCAGTTTCGGGCCTACTTCTGTTCTAGGGCTGCCAAGTGGGGGCGTGTGGCGGGTAAACCCCCGCTTTGGAGGCCCGATTTCCGCCGCCATGGAATCGGGCCCCGGGGGGGACTCCGCCCCCCGAAGCGCAACCATGTCGATCACGTTGGGGGCGTGGCCCCAGTCGTCAGAGGGAAAACTCCACAGACACCTCCCGGAGCCCGGCCGGGCTCCCCCGCCAGGCTCTAAATTACACTTGGCAACCCTATTCTGTTCAGGGGTGACAGTCTGGTTTTTGGGCAAAATTCTGTGGTAAATACGGTTTGACACCATAGACTTTTGCCCAGAAACCAGAGCATCACACCCCCCCCCAACTGGAAGTAGGCCTGAAACCGGAAATGGGCCCAAAAAGGTGAGTTGGGGGAGGGATTCCCCCCCCCGCGCCTGCCAGCTGACCTGTGGCAGGCAAGAGCCTACGCTGCAGCCACTGTGTGACGAACTCCCACACCTGTGGCAGCCGTTGTGTGGCTGCGCCTGCCACACTGTGGGTGCGGTCAGACGGTATGCTGAGGGTGGGTTAAACTGCTCCGGTTCTAACCGGATTATATTTGATCTGGATAATTGCGATCACACTTACCTCCCTTATCCCACCTCCCTGCGTAGTCACATCGCTCCCCGGTGTCTACACTACCGATGCGCAAAAGCGTGCGTCGGTGGGTTTTAAAATTTTTTTCTCAGTTTGCGCATGCGCATAGGTGCCCCTCCGTAGAATGGGGGGGCGAAACTACCATGGCGCATGTGCAGAACCACCAGGGCGAATCAATCCAACCCCTCCCACAAAGGACTTCCCTTTAAACGTTTGACCCGAAAATGGCCTCCGTGAGATCCCGAACTCATCTAAACGCTAAAACAAGTGACCGTTTAAATGTCGGTTTTCTAAACGCGGTGGCGGAGCTCCGCCTATGCGCACAACTCCAACACATTAAAAAAATGGCGGGCGAAAAGTGGAAGCCTCGGGCAGCTTTCGAGCGGGGAGGGGGTTTAAACCGGAAGTGGCTTGACACCGGAGGAGCAGTCACACAGGGGGGAAATGCGGCTTTAAACGGGAGAGCTGAGAAAACACCACTTTGGGACCTGGTAACAACACACTCCGGGTTAAAGGGGTTTTGAGCCGGAAACCAACGGCTGGGGACGGGAGGCAGAGGTTGACTGTGTGATCACGCATATAAAACCCGTTGCTGAAGCGTGACGACGCCAGATCAAACGGCGGGTCTGAACACACCCCCTGTGTCAGAATTCCAAAGGTGTCCAATGGCTCAAAGAGGCTGGGGACCCCTGCTTTAAGGTGCCTTATGGCTCAGCTGCTTTTGGGCCTGGGGATCAGCGGCATGTGATGTCATTGCACAAAGCAGCTTCCTGGGATGGGGTATGGATCGGGTCTGCCTTGCTAGGGAAGGCTCCCCTTCATCCTTCCCTTGGAGTTTTCTTCCCTGATTGAAGCCGAAGCCCTGGTAGGGGAAAAAATTAGGTATTCATATCGTTTCAGAAAGGTAGCCTTGTTGGTCTGCAGTGGAAGAGCTGGGTTCGAGTCTCAGTGTACCGTAGAGACCAACGGGATTTGTGGGGTTATACGTTTACGAGAGCCAAAGGTTCCTTCTTCAGATACCACGCGAGAGCTTTGACTCTTGAAAGCTTATACCCTCCAAAATCTCGTTGGTCTCTGAGGAAATCTGGGACTCGAATCCGGCTCAGGTGCTCACGTTGAAGAAGAAGAAGAGAAGAGACTGGATTTTTACTCCGCCCTTCACTACCCGAAGGAGTCTCAGGGCAGCTTACAATCTCCTTTCCCTTCCCCTCCCCACAACAGACACCCTGGGAGGTAGGTGGGGCTGAGAGAGCTCTCTTTAGAACTTCCCCCGAGAGATCAGCTCTGTGAGAACTTGTGACTGACCCAAGGTCACACCAGCAGCTGCATGTGGGGGAGTGGGGAATCAAATCCGGTTCTCCCAGATTAGAGTCCGCGCTCCTAACCACTATACCAAACTGGGTCTCCCCCATGGGACTGTCTCTTCCCCATGTGACTTAAAGCAATGGGGGGGGGGGATTCTGTTTGGGGAACCACTGGCCATGGTGACTGAAGGGAAACCTCCACATTCAGAGGCACTCATCCCCAGCGTAGCATCTGCCTTTTTTATTGCCGTCGTGCACTGAAATTGGCACCTTCAGTGCGTTCTCTACCATGTCTCCAATGCCATCAGCAAATTTTCACCACCAGTAGAGAAAATCAACCTCCAAAGAGCAGCTTGCTATGCAAAAAGCCAGGTGGAATTTTAAAAGTCTTCATGCCACCTAATAATAGCAGACTTCTCTTTCCTGCTAAGGGGTCCTGGAGTTATACTTTATGTTTTAAAAAACAGCCAGATTCGAATTCAGAAGCACCTTCAAGCCCAACAGTGTCTCTAGCTTTCAAGAGTCAAAAGGTCCTTTTGTCAGTTTGACTCTTATACCCTGGAAATCTTGTTGGTCTCTGCAGTGTTACTGGACTCAAATCCGGCTCTTGTACTGTAGACTCACACTGCTACCCTGGTAACTCTATCTTTGTTTAAAAAGGGGAGTGGACTCTACATCAAGGTATCATTTGCAGCTTCTGTGGTGCCCAGCATGGAGATGAAAGGTCCAGAATGTCCATAGCCAAATATGTAGGACAAGGGGGAAAGAATGTGATTTCTGAATGTGATTTCTGACACACTCTCCTTGATATATATATATATATATATATGTCATTCTGCCTTCAAAAGTTTAATCATAATAGATTCAGATGCAATAGAATGGAATGCTACTTAGAAGTTGCAAGGATGCTGAGAGCGAAGTTTAATGTGAATCACAGTCCTTATCAGCTAGCTCTCCATAAGCGAGGCCAAAAAGGGTCCCAGCGTTCTCTAAGGCTTCCCATTGTTCTGAAGACCAGGTAGACAAATGCAATCACATACACAGGGCTATTTTTGGGCAGGAACGCACAGGAACGGAGTTCCGGCTGGCTCCCAAGTTGGCCACGTCCAGCAGGAACTCATTAGCATAATAGGCCACACCCAACAGCAGAAACTCATTAGGATTGGCTACATTAGGGGTGTGTGGCCTAACATGCAAAGGAGTCCCTGCTCCAAAAAAAGGCCCTGGGTTTTGACAACAAACAAGGTAAACAGAATAACAAGCAAAAGGTAGGTGTGGCTGGATGACCACACTTCTGGTAACGTGGGTGCGGCCTAATGTGCTAATGAGCTGCGCTGTCAGGGGTGTGGCCCAATATGCTAATGAGTCCCTGCTGTTGGGTGTGGCCTATTATGCTAATGAGTTCCTGCTGGGCTTTTTCTACAAAAAGAGCCCTGCCATGACCAGTATCAGGAGAGACCAATGGTAAGGTTTAGAGTCAAATGATGCTTTTATGTTGTTAACTGCTTGGTACCAATTAAAGGTTCTTGAATGTGTAAATTACATGTGGTGTCACTCGGGGTATAAGACCCTCTGCCCTTCCTGGTTAAGGCAGAATACAGCTTGGAGTTATTGGCTGCTAGCGGACCCAGTCCTGTATTCCTGTTTCCTGCAATAAGCAGATATTCATCTAACACACTGGACTCTTAACGGCACGATTTCAACTCGGCCTTGGGAATCACACAGGGCACAGATTTGTGCATCAAACAGAAATGCCTTGCCGGCAGAGTCCGTAACGCCTCCCTTCCCTCCGCAGCAGAAGAGTCGCCGTGGGAAGCCGACAGGCAAGGTCAGCTGCAAGAATATTAAGCACGACTGCCCCACCCTTCCGTGTGCGGAGTCGGTCCTGCTGCCGGGACACTGCTGCAGAACTTGTCCGAAAGGTAAAGGGACTGGGGTGGGGGGGAGTGCCGAGTCCCGGTGGGGTCGCCAGCTCTGGGTTGGGAAATTCCTGGATGTTTTGGGGGGTGGAGCCTAGGGAAGGTGGGGTTTGAGGAAGTGGGGGGGATTCAGCAGGGTATGATGCCATAGAGACCAACTTCCAAAGTGGGCATTTTCTCCAGGGGAACTGGTCTCTGATGTCTGGAGACCAGGGGTCACTCCAGGAGATCTCCAGCCACCCCCTGGAGGTAGGCAACCCTATGCATTGGGACAGTGGCCATAAAAAGTCCAATTAAGATGGACTAAAAAAAAACCCCAAACAACCCTCAATTTTGTTGGTACCGCTTGCTTTCATTGTAATTCTTCTTTTATTCAGTTTTGTTCCGTTTGGTTTTATTTCTCCTTAAGAACGTCAGAAGAGCCCTGCTGGATCAGGCCAGTAGTCCATTTGGTCCAGGCGTCCTCTCTCACGCACTGGCCAACCAGTTCCTCTCGAACCAGTTCCTCTGGAGGGCCAGCAACAGGGCAGAGAGGCCGAGGCCTTTGACGTTCCCTCCTGGCACTGGGATTTGGAGGCTTAGGTAAAGGTTCCCTTGCTCGAAAGGCAGTTGAGTCCGACTCTAGGGTTGCGGTGCTCATCTCCGTCTCAAAGCCGAAGAGCCAGCGCTGTCCAAAGACGTTCCGTAGTCATGTGGCCGGCATGACTAAACACCAAGGCGCACGGAATGCTGTTCCCTTCCCACCGAAGTGGTACCTATTTATCTACTTGCAATTTCTTGCTTTCGAACTGCTAGGTTGGCGGGAGCTGGAACTAGAGACGGGAGCTCACTCCGTCATGTGGCACTCGGGTCTTGAACTGCTGTACTACTGACCTTCCACAGCCTGCAGTTCAGCATCTTAACCACTTGAGCCACCGCAGCTCCATTTTGGAGGCTTAGTGCCTCTGAATTTGGAGGTTCCGCTCAGTCCCCATGGACTAGTAGCCACTGATAGACTTACCCTCCATGAATCCATCTAATCCCCTTTGAAAGCTGTTTATTCCTGTGGCCCTCACGACATCCTCTGGCAGAGAGTTCCACAAATTGAATCCCTCTCTGTGTAAAGTAGTATTTCCTTTTGTCCATCCTGAACCTACTGCCCGTCAGGTTCCTGGCTGCCCTCGAGTTCTAGTATTTAGGGAGAGGGAGAAAAACGTCTCTTGGTCAGCTTTCTCCACATCACGCATAATTTTATAAACCTCTATCATGTCCCTCCCTCAGTCGTTTCTTTTCTAAACTGAAACGTCTTTCGGTGGGTGGGTGGGTGGGTTGTAATTTCTTGTCATTTCCCATCGCTTTGAAAGAGGGACCCAGACAGATTGCTGCAGCCTGTAATTCTGGTCTTTTGCATCCAGATGGGGTGAAATTTCCGGGTGTCGTGCTTCCCTTCCAATGGGTCAGGCGTGCTAGATTTCAGAGGGACGCCAAGAAAGATGTTTGCTTTAGAAGTACTTAAACGAGGGCTTTACAGTGCTGATATTATTTTCCACCTGTCTGTAATTTTGTGTTTCCCATCCTGTTGTAATGGCATTATATCACCCTGCCGATATGCCAGAGGTGGCAGTTCTGGTCACCACACTTTAAAAAGGATATTATAGCTTTGGAAAAAGTGCAGAAAAGGACAACTCGAATGATAAAAGGGTTGGAACACTTTCCCTATGAGGAAAGGTTAAGGCGCTTGGGGCTCTTTAGCGTGGAGAAATGACGACTGAGGGGTGACATGATCGAGGTTTATAAGATTATGCATGGGAAAGAACAGGTAGAGAAAGAGGTCCTTTTCTCCCTTTCTCACAATACAAGAACTCATGGGCACTCCATGAAATTGCTGAGTGGTCAGGTTAGAATGGATAAAAGGAAGCCCTTCTTCACCCAAAGAGTGATGAACACATGGAATTCACTGCCACAGGAGGTGGTGGAGGCTACAAGCATGGACGGCTTCAAAAGGGAATTAGATAAGCATATGGAGCAGAGGTCCATCAGTGGCTATTAGCCACAAGGTATAGATAGGGGCTCTGGGGCAAGTGATGCTCTGTCTTCTTGGTGCTTGGGGGGGTCAACAGTGGGAGGGCTTCTAATGTCCTGGCCCCACTGGTGGACCTCCTGATGGCACCTGGTATTTCTGGCCACTGTGTGACACAGAGTGTTGGACTGGATGGGCCTTTGGCCTGATCCAACATTGGCGTCTCTTATGATCTTATGATCTCAGAGATGGGAGAATATGTATTCGTTTGAGAGGCAATCTCAAAGCATACACCTGTGTTGTTTCTCCACCCCCCCTCCCAACATTTAATTCAATGAGAGACCCAAAGGGAGATTCCCTTATCTGTAAAATGGAAGTATTATTAGTTCAGCAGACCTCCACATTCAGAGGCAGTAAAGCTCTGAATCCCAGAGCCAGGAGGCAACATCAAGGGAAGGCCTCAGCCTCTCTGCCCTGTTGTTGGCCCTCCAGAGGAACTAGCTGGCCACTGTGTGAGACAGGATGCTGGAGTAGATGGGCCACTGGTCTGATGCAGCAGGGCTCTTTTCATGTTCTTATGAATCTTCCTAGAATGACCAAGAAAGAGATTTCTGTCCACTTGTAAATCAATGACTGTTAATCATGATATATCAGTAGAACCTCCATTTTCAGAGGCAGTATATCTGAATGCAGAATGGCATGAATCCAATGGACTATTTCTGTAGATGGATCAGTTTCTGCCTTTGGGGCATGACTTTCTCATCTCCCCTTTTCCAGTGCAGCCCCAAATGCACCCTGAATTTTTGTACCTGGGGATATAATCCCCCAGAAAGAGCATTCCAGGAACCGTTGCCAGTTCTGGGTTCTGAAAATACCTGGAGATTTGGGGGTGGAGCCTGAGGAGGGTGGAGTTTGGGGAGGGGAGGGACTTCAGCAGGGTACAATGTCATACAGCCCACCCTCCAAAGCAGCCATTTTTCCCCAGGGAAACTGACCTCTATTATCTGGAGATCAGCTGTAATAACAGGAAGTCTCCAGGCCCGACCTGGAGGTTGGGAAACCCTAATGCACTGCCAGGGCGCCCCCCCCCCCCGGCCTCTTGGTGTAGTGGTTAAGAGCGCAGACTCTGATTTGGGAGAACCGGGTTTGATTCCCTGCTCCTCCACATGCAGCTGCTGGGATGACCTTGGGTCAGTCACAAGTTCTCTCAGAGCTGTTCTCTCAGGAGCAGTCCTCGAAAGAGCTCTCTCAGCCCCACCGACCTCGCAGGGTGTTTGTTGTGGGGAGGGGGAGGGGGAGGAGATTGCAAGCTGCTTTAAAACTCCCGAGTGAAGGGCAGGGTATAAATCCAATCTCCTCCTCCTCTTCTTCTTCTTCTTCCTTCTCCTCCTCCTCCTCTTCTTCTCTCCTTCCTCTTTTCCAACTTTCATGACCAGTGCCGACCCACCCACAAGCCTGTTGTGATCACGTCCATTGGGGAAGCGACCGTGTTCAGAGGCTTCATCTCAATCTGCATGCACAAGATGCACGTCCCCCTCCCCCCCCCTTTCAGATGGCAGGCAGAAGGGAAGGAAATGTGAAGAGCAGACAGATGTTGCTGGCTTGTTTATTTGGCGTGTTGGTTTTGTGCACTGGACGGTGTCCGCTTCCTCTGTCAGCCTGCCCTGTATAGTCTGTTTCCTCGGTTGTTTGGGTCTGCTGCGGCAACCGGGGATGAAAGTGGGCCGTCTGTGACCACCTTGAACACACCTGCTGTGTTCTGATCTCAGAGGCTAAGTGGGGCTGATCCCGGCTCGGACTGGGATGGGAAACGACCATGGGATGCCAGAAGCTGATGGGAGTTGGTATACTCCAATAAAGGTGTGCTTTATTTTAGGAGAGTCCTGGGTTCAGAAGAAGAAGAAGCCGCGATTGGATTTATACCCCGCCTTTCACTTGGAGTCTCAGAGCGGCTTACAAACTCCTTTCCCTTCCCCTCCCCACAACAGACACCCTGTGAGATAGGTGGGGCTGAGAGAGCTCTTTCGAGGACTGCCCTTGAGAGAACAGCTCTGACAGAATTATGGATTGCCCAAAGTCATCCAGCAGGTGCAAGTGGAGAAGTGGGGGATCAAACCCGGTTCTCCCAGATTAGAGTCCACACACTTAACCACTACACCAAACTGGCTCTCCTGTGCAACTCCTGTGCAACTGCAACCAAGAAGGTGGGACCTTCGGAGGGGAGGACTGGTTCCTTCATGATCTTTCCTGGCCAAGGTCGGCTGTGAACTAGGGTTGCCAACCTCCAGGTGGGGCCTGGAGATCTCCCGGAAGTACAGCTGATCTCCAGGTGATCGAGATCAGTTCTGCTGAAGAAATGGCAGCTTTGGCAGGTGGACGGTATGGCAACACACCTTGCCGAGGTCCCTGCCCAAACCTCGCCTTTCCCAGGCTCCGCCCCCAAATCTCCAGGTATTTCCCGGACCAGAGTTGGCGACTCTACCGTGAATGCTAGGCTGAAGGGAACTCTGTTGTCATCCATCAAGGTGCTTCTGTTAGCCTTGAGACCTGAATGGAGCCTCCACATTCAGAGGCAGTATACCTGCGAATCCCAGTGGCAGAGGTCAAGCACAGGGGAAGGCTTTTGGCTGCCAGGCTGTGAGAAACAGGATGTTGGTGTAGTAGTTAAGAGCATGGACTCTAATCTGGGAGAACCAGGTTCGATTCCCCACTCCTCTGCATGCAGCTGCTGGTGTGACCTTGGGTCAGTCACAAGTTCCTTCAGAGCTGTTCTCCCAAGGGCAGTTCCCGAGAGAGCTCTCTCATCCCCACTTGGGGAAGGGAAGGGAAGGGAAAGAAGATTGTACGCTGCCCTGAGACTCCCTTGGGTAGTGAAGGTTGGGGTATAAATCCAATCTCTTTCTTGTTCTCTCTTTTCTTCAGTCCCTGTTTCTGTTAATGTTATCATCAGAGGTGATAGGGAGGGACATTTATATCTAGGGAGGGTTTGAATGGCAGGATTTTG